GTTAAGTTTTTAAGTTAAGAGAGACGATCCGAATTAGCATTGATTCAAAAATACACCACATAATTCAATAGAAAGTGCCATTTCATTCAAAAGGGGAGGCTCTATCGGCCCCCTTGCAACAAAAAAAAAACGGAGGCTCTATCGGCTCCCCTTGTTACAAAAAACCTTGTAAAATATCAACACTACTCCTCCGGATCTCTGATCGTGTCATCCTAAGCATGAGTTTCCCCTTCTGGCTCGGGATTGACATGTTCTTCATCTTCCTCTTCACCAGACGAAGCATCAGCATCTCCTTCTGGCTGGGGGGCAGCTCCCGGCTCCGAGTCATCAGGGTTCGCCCCCTCGGGCATCTCAGCAAAGGATATAAATGACCCTTGATAAAAATCTTGGGTCATGTCAAATTCAAAGTCCTCCGGGAATTGGCCGAAGTGCTTTGCCTGCCGAACAGCATGTTTAAATCCAGCCTCGTGTTGAGCGACGATCTTCTCCTTAGCCTGCTCTTTCAGGCGGTTGTATTCAACTTGGGCGATCTCTGCTCGGCGGCGCTCTTCATTGATTTCCTTTTGTAGATCCAGGCGAAGAGTGTCATTCTCCTGCCTAATAGAATCCAGCTCGGCAGCCAACTCGCGATTTCTGGTTGCTGCTTGTTCCGTGACCGAAATAGCTTCGGCTGTGGCCTTCTCGGCCTCTTCGAGACTTTGTTTCAGATGCATCACCTCGCCGACCCGATCCATGGCTAGGTGATGAGCCAAGGCCAACGAACGCGCTTGCATCTCGCAGAAAAGTCTCCACTTGGTTCTCGTCTCCATGCCTGCCAAGAACTCCTGCCCGAACGGCGAAACTGCATCGGACCGAATCTGGGTATCGGCCGATACATCATCACTCAGAAAAGCCCGAGACATTAGTTGGGGCGGCACCACAATCACAGTCCGATTGGGTGATGCCTCGGGCACCGATTTAGCCTTCTTCAGATTCCCTGATTGTTCCTCAGAACCCTTCCTCTTCGTTCGCTCCCGATCAACCTCTTTCCCCTTCCTCCCCATCTTCTTTTTCAGTTCAGGCGAAGGAAGCTCTCGGTTATCTTGCTCACGTTGGGGAGTGCGTGCAACAGTCGAAGTACCAACACCCCCGATGATGGAAGAAAGTTAAGAGGAGTGGTAGATGACTTCTCCTTAGCTTCTCCTTTGCTCGGATCTTCTTCAAGGAGATGGAAACCACAAAGATGAACACTAGATGGAGGAAGAATCTCGGATATAGAAGAGGCTTAAGCCTTGGATGGAAGCATCCAAGCTTAAGGTGCAAGGGAAAGCTCACTTCAAAGAGGAGGAAATCCTAGTAGGGTTCCTAAGGTGAAACTTTCTCTCATGGTGACTCTTGAACGAAATTTGGCTGAATAAGCTCTCAAATTTCATTATTCTCAAAAGTGAATACAAAAATGTGAAGGGAGGACTTAAGTATGCACGGAAATGAAGCACATAGGCACCTAAACCAAAGCTACACAAATTGGCGCCTAAAGTTTGAATTCAAATTTGAAATTTGAATTCAAACTTTGGTGCACATGTGTAAGTCCGAAAATTTAGGTACCAAGGTGCATTTAGGTCTGATTTGAGAGTCATTTAGGGTTAATTTGAGTGTCACATGTTCAGCCACCAATGGTGCAAAACATGTGACTCAAATGTAACTTAAATGGCTTCCAAATTAAACCTAGTTTAACCTAATTAGCATACTTTAGTATTCCTTGTATTTTCCTATTCTAATGACCTAATTACATTGGTCAAACAATTACAATGGAAAGGAAAAATTACAAGAATGAAAATGAGCCCAATATTGGGTACCAAAAGCCCAAAGGCCCATGAAGCCCAAAACTAGGCCCAACAAGCCTTAAACCTAAAATGCTACTCTATGTGGTCCAAAATACAAGACCAAAATATATGATACCTATACTAACATGATGTATACAAAACATATGAAAATAGCTATAACAAAATATGGCCCATGAAAAGCTCAACTTGGGCCTTCCCAGGCCCATCGGTCCCATTGGGCTTTGACTGGCCCAAACCTCCATGTCTAACCCACTCCTCTTGGATCTTTTAAGTTGTCACCTCTTGCCTTCCTTAGCATGATTCCATCACCCGACTTGCTTAACCTGCGTCACTCGAGCGGCTAACAAGTTGTGGATGTTAAATTCGTCAGCTCCACTAGACACCATAATTCCTACAAAAAGATAAAGTAAACATCAATAGGAATTTATCCAATAGCCAAAATAGGAGGGATAACGTACCTATCAGGTTGTTCTCCCATAGGGGAGACTCAACCAAGTTAATTAGAGATCGGGTCAGCAAACGCCGAGGAAGGCGGAGTAACAGTTTTAAATCTTTCCGTTCTTCGGCCGAAAGAAGACTCTTCGGTACTACATCGTATGGCCGAGGGGACCGTGTCCAGTATAGAGGAAACAAGCTTCTGTTATTCTCACCGAAAAAGAAACGTCTCCCATTCGGACGAATGGTCACTCGAAAAAATCCCGCCTTGAAATTCTTATACGAAGATGTAAAGCTATCCAGCAATTGTCGTTCCCCTACTCGGCTCAATGACAACCACTTGGCCAATATGGAGGGTCTGGACGAGTAAAAATAAAGAAAGAGTAGTGGGGAAGGCCTAATATGAGTACATTGGCACAAGTGCTTGAAACCCTGCAGTTGAGCCCAGCTGTTCGGATGTAATTGGGTTGGGGCAACATTGAGAACTCTCAACACTCCAATAGTAAACTCATCAAAAGGTAATTTTACTTTGAGATCCCGAAGGAGACAATCATATATGTAGAACGATTCCATTTTCGCCCCACTTTGATCAAGACAAACGGTATCAGGGTTCGGAAAGGCATTGTTTCGGCACGACCGAATACCAATCAGGTACGGATTCTCCTTAGCATTAAAAGTTAAGCAATTTGTATAATCTAGAAGGTTGGTGATCATGCTTGTGTCTTGGTACCGTGAGTAGTAGGAGGTCACCTCCCCGTTCACCCACTCGTAGCCAGGCACCTCGGACGGACCATACCGTTGCCGATTCGACACGCATTTCGACTTCCCTTGTACCTCGGCAACCCCGCTAGTAGAAGTTTCCTCCGAAGTATTCTCATTCGGCCTTTCGGCATGATCCAAATACCGAACCACACTAGAAAAGCTCGAACTACCGGACAAGGCCCCCTCAGACGACGATGACCGAGAGCTACTGGCCGAAGAACTTCCAGAAGTATCAACCATGGCGATAAAAACTTACCAATTTCTTCAGAGCCACAATCGTTAGTCGGATCGGCTTCAGACCTTCTGCTACCACAATTCGGTTCAGAGCAATACGTGTGAATGGCCCTACCAACCAGCTATTTATAAGCTCAAAAAACGGGCGGGAAAAAATTCAAGTTTTGAAAAAATGTAACCGTTCGATTCCCGAAATCCAATGGTTAAAGGCATGCAACCGTTCACCTTACCCTAGCAACTGTCTCCATTTTACCCTTGAAGAAAGCTTCACCTTTCCTCAAGGCTGGGGGGCAGTGTACAGGTTGGGGGGTTCGGCCACCACCCCATCGGCCACCGAATGGCGGAACCAGGAAGCCGAATGTCAATCGGCCACCAGGATCGGCCTACCATCATTTGGTACTCTTAATCAAAGATTAGGGGTTAATTAGTCGATTAAGGTGTATTACCTAATACGGTAAGCAAGTCACAAGGCCCATGGGGTCCAGGGCCCATAAATGTCAGTATAAATAGCTCAGGACAAAAGGTAACGTCACTGTTCATTAATTATCCTAGATATTTGTGCTTGTCCTGACTTGAGCGTTGGAGTGCCTTTTGCAGGTACCAACCCCTCTACTCACATCGGATCGGAGCACTCGTTCGGCCTTCAGATTGCGAGAAGATCATTGGTGTATCCTTTTGCAGGTACACAAACGTTGAATTTAAAGTTCTTAATGAATATATTAAATTTACAAATTTTTTAAAATTTTGAAAACCATTTGATACTTCGTTTCATTAATTCAAATGAATGTATAAAATAATTTTATGATTATTCATCAATTTGAATAATGAAATAAAGTATCAAATAATTTTTAAATTTTCTAAAAATTTGTAGACTTGATTTATGCATTTAGAACTTTAAATTCAATGGTTGGATTATTAAAATTTGATGTAGAACATGAATTATTGAATGAAATAAGTTTATATAGACTTACTCTCGAAGTAAATAAATCCTTTCTTTATATTTATATATATATATATATACATA